TATATTATAATATATTAATTTATGTAATTATTATATTTATGACATTTTATCTTTGATCATTTTAAAATGTATATATTATTTTAAAATGTATATATGTTTTATATTTTATTCAACACATTTTCTTCACGAATGATATTTTTGCAGATATCGAAGTTCCAACTAAGGACAATGTGCGAAGCGCCGCATTAATCGGATATCTTCTCATTAATGAGACAAATATACTCTGCGTGGGTCCAACCGGAAGCGGCAAAACTCTGACGGTTTCGGCGAAATTATCACGTAATATGCCGAAGAAATATATTTGCGACTTCGTGACTTTCTCGGCGCGAATCACGGCAAATCAGACACAAGTACGGCAGGAGAGAGCGAATTACATATTTTTCGGGACGGGAAATGAGATTAATAGCGCGGATCTATTTTCGCGCAGGATTTAATTGACGCGAAATTGGACAAGAGACGTAAAGGCATTTATGGGCCGCCGATCCTGAAAAAGCAAATTTTTTTCATCGACGACTTGAATATGGCAGCGCTGGATGCGTACGGCTCTCAACCACCAATTGAATTAATCCGCCAGTTTATGGATTCAAAGGGTGAGAAAAAAAAAAACAAGATTAATTAAATTATAATAATCCATTCAATTGATCATATCGATGCACGAATCATTGCTATGGTAATAAACCGATGAATAAAAAAATCTGGCATGAAAATTGACTTAAAAATAAAATGTAGAAAAAATAATAATAGCTTATTTAGCCGCGTATTTAGCCCGTTATGTGAAAATTATAAAGCTATAAATAATTCTAGCTACTAGCTATTCTAATTTAGCTACTATTATAGAACTATTCTATTATAATTCTAGCTATATGCTATATTTTATTTTGATCTGCAAACATTTTTCTAGATTATTTGCCATTATAAATTCTTGTGAAGTAATACAACACACATATATTAAAATTTCTTCATTTTTAGATAAAAAAATGTTTTACAGAGCAACATTTTATAATTTTATATATCTCATGAATAGTATATTATATTTCAAATTAAGAAAGTTGATAAGATTCTAAAACAAAATTCACAACTTTGAAATCCGGGTAAAAAAGAGTTATTATAAATCTCAAATATAGATTAATTTTACACTTGGTATAAGACCAAAAAAATTTTCTGACCTGTACAGTAATCAGTTGCTTCTTAATAGAAGAATTATTTACTATGAAACTGACGCACTACTACGCGCGTTTGGCATTTAGTTGCCCGCAAAGTTTCGAAGTTGAGTTCATAAATTATACAGTGTATAAAAATAGAAACATTTCCATTTCCGTGCCACAGCATCGCAAAGTACCTTTTACTCAAAAGATTCATAATTTTCATATTTCTTATCTCATTAAAATCTTCATTTAAAAAATTTTATATGAAATAAGTTGTACCGTGATAACGGAAGAGAGAGAGAGAGAGCTAATCAAAATAATTCTTGATTTAATCTCTTGAAAATTTCAATTTTAATCCTCAAAAGCTCTTGAGAAAACTTAAGAAGAAATTAATGTCTTAAAAAATTATATATGAGAATCTGCATATATAAAACATTTAATGAAACATACAAAATAATAATTTCTAATTATTAAATACTTGTTTCTCACACACTTTAAAATATTAGTATTATATAAAATCAGTACTCTAATAATATCATAATTTTAATAACCTATTTCTACAGAACAATGTGTAGTCCTCAAGGCAATGACGCTGTCACAGTTGACTTTTTATACGACTAGGTCCGATATCGCGGATATATATACATTTCAAATATAAATACGATCAGATTAATATTCTTTATCCACGATATTGAACGAGTTATATAATCATGGAATCTTAATAGAAAAAATTCCTGACAGCGTATCATCTATTCCGTTATCTTAACAAGTCCAGCTTTAATAAATCAAGAATATTGTCAAGATTTTAATTTCTTTTTATAGTTTTCTTTGAAATTATGCTAATTGTAAAAAAAATAATGCTCTTTACAAACTACTTATATAATATGTTAAAACATAGCGTATATCAAAATATATCGAGATAAGTTCTCCGCAGGATGGTATGATAGAAAAGAGATCGGATCCTTCAGACTGATCGAGGACGTAAATTTTGTCGCAGCTATGGGACTTCCCGGAGGTGGAAGAAACCCTATAACTGCCAGACTTATTCGACATTTCCATATTATTGCATTTCCAGAGATCGACGACGACGCCAAAGTGAGTTGCATAGTATTTGTATAGCTGCATTGAATACGATAATTGCTTGCGTTTATCGACAATCTCTCAGGATATCGATCACCGTTTTTTTTTGCCTAGAAATAAAAAAGTGAAATTTCCACGATCGTAAATTTTTTGAAGTTGCAATCTTATTAAATAAGAAGATCCTCGATTGAATAGAATCTCTCTCGTTATGAACATTGAATATTTTTAAAAAGTTTTGCTTTCAATTCATAATCTACTTTTTAAAGCAATATATTGTAGAGATAAAAAAAGATAATTATACAATTTGTTTGAAATATTAAACATAATATTTTTTGTTCTACAGAATTTAATTATTAAAACCTTTGACACAATACATACTTTATAAAATATAAATTATATATCTAATTAAAATTAACTTAATATCTCTTGTGTTAAACGATAGCAATAAATATAAGAAAATCTTCGATCTTTCAGTACGGAAATTGTAAGCTGTGAATAAGGCAATGAAAGCTATTGCTTATTATTCTTTAAATTAACTATCACGAGCGTGATATTAAATGGCAACGCGTAACAGGAATTAAAATTAGATACGGAAAAGAAGACTTTTTACATTGCAAAATTCATGACAATAAAGTAAATTATTGTATGTTTTTACAAACATCATTTATTTGATAAAATCATATTTCATAAAAATTTTTATGTTAATGAAGGATAGCTTTCGAAACCGTCGAATGCACGATAAGATTACGTCTAATTTACTAGATTATTCGTGACTCGAGTGGATCGATATGCGCGTATGTAATATGTGGTACATCAAAGGTAATAATGCTCTCGCAGATATTTGCTTTCACCTGGGGGAAAGCGATCGATTGATAATTATGCGCATCCTCTTTTAAACGGATATTGAACTGTGCCATGCGCGCTTATATACACTTGTTTTAATCGCCATTATATATAAATGTACTTTATTTACGTCATCCATATTACGTCATTGATATTGTCTCGTAAGAACACGGTATGGACCAACGGATAATTTTTACAACAGCGAGATGTCATAAAACGCCCCCCGAGTAATTTTACAAAAGGCTCTTACATATAAATTATTACTTTTTGGGATATATATATATATATATATATATATATATATATATATTAAAGAAAATAAATTATATTTTATTTAATTGCAAAAAACTGATTCGTACAGAAATATATTCACAAAATCGATAAAAGAAATCACAAATAAAAATCATCCGTAGAAAACCAATAAAAATATAATGCACGATATATTATAGATAAAAAATACGCAAGAGTATTGCAATTTTATATAAAAAATTCAGAATCGAAATGTTTATCACATAATATTCAACGAATATTATTTATAATTTTTTATCGTTGCTTGCGCGTTGAAATTCAATGAAAGATAATTTCCGACATCACATTTGTTACGCTCGGGGTTGCATGTACTTGATACATGTATGTATCCTTCCACTGCGTCGTCAAGTTTTCTTCCATTCAATCGGCATATCCACGCCCAAGCGCATAATCGCGATTCTTTGGAAAAGACGGAACACCATGGGCATTGTTTGCCTTGTTCCTTCGTGCTTGCCGCAATTAGACGTCGTAAATCGTGACCGTACCGATCATAATTTATCATAATTACCTGCTCGGCTAATATAATGGAGGCCATAATCAACCTCGCCGAGTCTCTGCGCACCTGCGAGACCTTCTGTGTACGTTTTGTTCAAGGTCGACGAGGCAGGCCCGAGTTTAAATACTGTTAGTTAAATATTCGTGTCAAATACATTCATAATAATTAAATGGGAAAACTGGCAAATAACATTCATAATATTCGTACATGACATTCATAATATTCGTACCGCTTGTAGAGAATTTCCTCAGTTCTGATACCCTCGGATCAGATATCCTTTGTTATCCAACATTGGTTAATTAAATAGATTAGATCAAGAGCAATATTATTATTAATATTAAACGTGATAAATTGAGGCAATAAATAAATTTTAATTAGAACAGTGTGATAATTGTCTTTTAATATGAATCCTTTGGGGCGGTCGATATAGTATAAGTTTATCACTGCGAGAGATTTACTATATATATATTTATTTATATATTTATTTTATTATATATATAGTTCTCTTATAAAATTTTAAGTTAAATATTAAATTAATTTAATATTGAATATTAAGGCCAAAGCTTAAAATTTTTGAATTAATTTTTTGTTGGAGGAATTTCTATATCGGCCCACTGCCTTCTAAATTTCAATATTAAATATTCTCACGTAATTGCCAGGTTAAATTTCAATTAAAGTAAGTTTGAACAGCTTTTAAAGTAAAAATTAATGTTTAATTAAATACAGAATAAGCGCCAGAATGTTTGCCATGAGAAACTACTTCATATTATTTAAAGGATTTAGATGTTAAAGTGAATGCTACATAATTGGAATCACTGAAGATTTATAAAAGATAACTAATTAAATTTTTGTGTACGAGATAATATTTTCAAAATTAAAAATACATATCTATAAATCTAGTCATTTAACTTTATTATATATTTATATATATTTAATTTACAGTCGCACATCTTTAAAACAATTCTTAACACGTGGCTGTCAAATACACCAAAACTTGGAAATATGCTGGATGATATAGTGGACGCTACTTTAAAAGTTTTCGCAATTACATGCAGCCAAATGTTGCCAACTCCCAATAAATCCCATTATACTTTTAATCTTCGCGATTTGAGTAAGGTGTTCCAAGGTGTACTTATGGCAGACGCAACGAAAATGCTAGTTAGTATAATTTTTAAATATTATTAATTTTTTAATTAAAAAATTAATTGTAGTTCGCTGAAAGAGGTAAATCGTCTCGGAATTAATGACAAATTGTTTAAACAAAGATACGTCGATAATAACGACTATTCTGCAGAATGAAAAGAATTTTTCGATAAAAGGCTATGTGCTCGAGTGATTAAAACACGTGTATGATCAGACAAACCTTCCCTTCGGCTTTAGCGCATGCATGCGCGACGCTCGTGGCTATACATCGCACGTTATTAAAAAGTTAAAATAAGATTAAAAAAAGATAAATTCGTTTCATACAAAAATGGAATAAAAAATATTTAAATGGTTTTATATGTGACACAGTAGTCTATACATAAATCGACGAGTATTGTTATACGTTTCCAATTTTTTATTAATTGCTTTACAATAGAGATCACTTTAATCTAATTTAGTACTTTATTTAATACACAGCTAGCGTAAAATTAAATATTTTATATCCACTTTGATCCATAAGCGAAGCAAAATACGCGTTGTACAGGATTTTATTTATCGAGCAACATTTGACGTGTTTCATATCTTTTTTAATATATTTTTTAAATTGATTTCTAGAAATTATCTTACACATATTATATAATATTTGTATTACATTTGATTTATCTTTTTACATAGACTCGCGAGAAATTATTATTACTTTGGTATCATGAAAATATTAGAGTCTTCAGTGATCGATTGATTGATGACGAAGATAGAAAATGGTTCGATAAATTCTTGCGGGACATATTAAACGAAAAGTTCCACTGTGACGTTGATATTTTTATTGGGAAGAAAACGTTATTTTATGGTGACTTTTGTAGCACAGCAAAAGAATATGAACAGATAACAAATATAAAAAAAGTAATTAATTCTATTTATAGTTTAATAACTTAAATTTAATAATTAATATATTAT